AATAAATGGGGCGACGTGTATACATATTGTATTGTAATCTGAYTTCTCTGCAATCTTGAACTAATTGTAATCTAGTACATTGTACAAATTGTTGTACAAAAATAATTCACACAGTTTATTTACGAGCTTTTAGTATAAGACATTATTGCACTTATATTCATTATATTGTACTAGCACTTATCTTTAAGTATGGCATATCAATGCTATCATTCTTATAGCAAAAATCTCAGTCATGTTACCACTGTACAATGATCGTGAAATTGTAATTGGATTTCCGATGATTGTCGAAAGCTGAACAGACTGTTATCAMAATMATATCCTAGMCTTAGATTTTGGCTTGAGAAGGATTATAAARCCCTGAGGAAAAGTAGTCTTTTGTGATTTTTGTTATGAATATGACCTTGATTAAGAGGTTTTGTACACTATTCATATCATAGTTTTCACAAAGATGCTTTAAAATTAAAAAGGACTTACTTAACCGTCCATCTTTTGTGAAACTACGGTCATTTAAGAACCTAGTTATAATCCAGATTTAGTAGATTTASCCTTATCGTCTTTGTAAAGTAGGTTTTTTTATAATAGTGTACCAGTATATACTCTTTAAATCTCTGAAATCTAGTTGGTTAGGATACTTTCTTTCGCATGTTCGTAAATATAAAATTGCGGTGACTTTAAATGTGGCTTTAAAATCAGTTTTCAACATTCTGAAAATTTCCAGCTTTTTCCCAACTATTTTCATATATTTGAGAATGCGGAAGAATTAATCACTCAAAATATAACTCTATAAATACCTTGATAATGTTGAAACCTTTTCCTTGAAATCCTTTACAATAAATAGTTCAGTCAGTGAATACTTCTGCCGCCTCCAAGGCTAAAGTTAGAACACAATCAAGATTCCACGTGTTTATAAAGACTCCTACGACCCACTTAACAGGAACTACCGACTGCCTGTATAATGACGTGCTGTAGAAACGTGCCGTGTTGTCTAATGAATGTCATTATTCGACGCCGTCCGAATCCTGCTGCGAAAATCGGGCATTTGACTATCAACTTATAAATTGACACAATGTTTCAACGYATGTCTTTTTACGTGACGGAAAGGCGAGCATTTCGTGAAAATTTAATCTACTGTAAAGAAATGGATGGATGGTCCGTTTGATCACTTTGATCGCTATAATGATCTTTGATCCTTGATTCCTATGGCTTTTGAATGGCCTCTATTGTGTGGGTTTTAGGCGTCTGTGTCTTGATTTCTACTATATTATTGTCCTTTGACCTCCATGCCCTTTGATCTTTGTGACTTTGATCCCTGGCAATTCCCTTTGTCCTTTGACTTTAGTGATTTTGATCTCTCCTCAATTCCCCATACCGTTTGATCTTTTTATCTTTGACCCCTGGACAATTCCCCTTGTTCTTTGATCTTTTTATCTTTGATCATYCCTAGGGCAATTCCCCTTGTCTTTTGAATTCCTCAATTCCCCATGTTCATACCCTTTGATCTCTGTGATTTTGATCCTCACACTGATCTCTATTCTTGATTTTTAATTTCATGATCGTAGATGTCCTGAGAAAATAACAAATGATACGAGGATGACAGCCATGATGGTATACCGATAAAAACATCTTTTGTTTCATGTTTGTTTGGTATGTATTGGTGCTGTTGTAATATTGCTAAATATCACACATTCAAATTCTTACACTTCGTATCAACCAGTYATCGAACTATGACAACTATATAGGCGCGTAGCGTCCTTTACGCATATACGCACGTGCGTACTAGTGGTAAGGAAATATCAAAATCTTCGGGACTTAATGCCTATTATACGCTCTCGATGCCCCTCGAAACGCTGGAAATCGCATTCCCAAGAGTTATATTTTCAAAATTTCTTGGGGAGGTCCCCCAGACTCCCCTTAATACTCCCGCATCGGCGGTTGGTAGTCCCCCCAATCAAAAATATGTGTCGCGGTCCCTGGTATGTGCGTACTAGCCAAAAAGTCCACGCTACGTACCTGCTATAGTACAACAATACAATGAAATTTGGCTTAACACCTCCTGCAAATTGTTCATTTCGGCTACGCTTGCTTATGACACTTTGTATGCTTTGCGTACCTAGTTGTTTCCTGGCACAAACGGTATAGATCTAGGACAAACGTCGTAAATTATTGAGCAAGCTTCATGTTTGTAGTTTTAATGAAGTATAAGTTTTATCAATGAAAATAGGACTATACTGCTCAAATACTTCTTTTCAGTCGGTATCACTGAGAAAATAATACAAATAATAGGACTAGTTCTTAGGTATAAATCTATGTATKACAGTAAATGTTAGTCCTTCATTTAAGAACATATTTCTTAGTATTACGAATGGCTTAACGCCCTGTTTATGCAAATGTAATTTTATATATTCTGACGCATGAAACATTATAAATGGGATATGTTTTACTAGCTCGGGACTCTGTTAACTCGAGGCTTAGCTGTAAGAAACTTTGAAGAGAGTTTGTGCCCAACTTGGTGTTGTAAGGAGTACCTCTTGTACAGCTATAGGCGTGTACTGAGCTCAAATCAAAAAAAGATCTCCTTTTTAGAAGCCCTGTGAAAACCAAGRAGAAAATTTAATTCTTATAATTTCATTGATTCCTCATTTGTTTTATGTGACGCAAACGATTTCACAAGGATTTCATGCTACGTACAACTGTCTTTTTTCGTAGAAAGGGATGAAAAATTCCTCTGCTTGCAGGGTAGTTAACGTAACCATATATACTCACGTAATTAAAACTGCAAAACGGACGGTCTAAAACTGAAGCGTGCAAAGCACTATAGCAACTAGGCAAGTTCCTAGCGAAAGATCGACGGAAAAAGGAGATTGGAATAGGGGAAGGGAACGCCTGTCAATTCCTTCTCTCYTCACTCTTCCGTTGAACTTTCGCTACGAACGCTACGTGACTACGTTCATRCTTTCTCAGTATCATTGGCGCCAATTGTTTGATCTTCGGTTCTACGTAAAGCATTTTTTACGTGATATCGATCTATACAACATAGATTAATATAAAGAGCTGACAATTTAACGCGTAKTCATTTTCCGCAAGTATAAAAAGCTTTTACGCTGTTACTTTGTGCAAACGGAAATGACATTCGCTGATATCCTTACAGGACAAACTTTGTGACAGGTGGAACTGCTGTTAGCAAGTCTATTATCTCTTCTGGATTGACTCCAATCATTCAAACAACTGGACGGATTCCTAGCGTTTTGTTTGAGTATACAATGTTTACGTGAGTTGAAAGAAATAGCAAATATATGAGCCACGTATTGTTTACGTAATAACTGATATATTTACTGAACTGGACACGAAATTGGCGAAAGACTTGCGCATTCTTTGCGTTACCTTGTACGTAGTACATTGATTGGATGAGTTGAGTAAATATATGATCCACGTATTGTTTACGTAATAACGTAGTACAGTACGTATATCTTCACTGAGTTTTACTTTTTCGTTTGACTTAGATATACTTTCCAGTGCGCCGTGATATAGCGCAAGGGAAGACGCTTCCCGTTTAATGGCATTGCTTTGGATAATCTTTGTACAAAAGGCGCCTCCTTGTGATCAAATGACAATTTTAAGCAAAACATTATAAAAAAAGCTTAAGAAACTTAATTACTGAATCCGAAAACATCCTAAAAATCATTGGGGAAATGACGCTGAAATTACGAAAAACAAAACCACAGCGCTAAAGCAATAATTACATGTAGTGGAGTAGCGGAAATTTACTATTCTTGGACTTGCTTTTCTGAACGGGAAACTGAAATTCCCACAGCATACTGTACAAACCGTATCGCTGTCGTCGGCCTTCGGCCTCACAAGCCTTATGGGCTATCAGTTCGAAGTCCACTCGCCCTCAAGGTCTAATTGTTAAATAATCGCTGATATGTGTCATTACCACACACCATGAGTTTAAAACGTCCAAAAAACAAAAAGTGTAGAAGGCAAAGGCTGCCGGAATTTCATTGTATCCAACGAAACTGTCATATACATTAAAACTCGCTACGCTCGGTCTGTTCTTCCCGACAGCGGTCTAGATTTTTCCATCTAGACCGCGCGATTTGTTAATAAAACTGAATGATTGGTTTTCTTAGTTCTTTTATAATGTTTATCAAGAAGTTTTGAAATTCGAAAGAGAAACCTCTATAGAAAGTGTCAGTTGCGAATCAATTTCTGATGTATTTTCTAATGTTTTCATGCAGTACCAAGGCTCAGTAGCCAGAATCAAAACAGAAAAAAATGATGGCTCAGTAGCCAGAATCAAAACAGAAAAAAATGATGAAACACTGTTACTGAAATCTGGGAAACTATTATGAATTGACAAACAGTAGAGTTTTTTTCTTTAATCTTTCAGGAAAAATACTTTTACAATGTAATATATGTTTCGACATTTCTCTCAATTATTGATAACGTTGGATATGTTGGGTCATAAACTACATGTCTCGAACATATTCAGTAAATGTTTCGCATATGCGTGTATATGAGCTGATATGGTCAGACAGGTTGAACTATATGAACAGTGCATAGAAGACTTTGATACTGAAGGAAGTAGACTGTACAAACACTAAAAACGTAAAAAAAAGTAATGACTAAATAGTGATAAATAGCGCAATATAGTGATGGACAATAGAAAACAAAGGAATTAATATTAAATAATCCAGTTCAATTTAGCACCATTTAGTCACTATAAAAGTTTTTCAAAGTTTTTTTTTTTGTTTATTTAGACTCGATATAAGTAATTCAGTGATAAAATCTCTATTGTTACTCAATTATTGTTATTATTTCAACACCTTACTCCTGACGTAWAGATAAAGCTAGAAAAGGAAATAAAAACTTAGTCAAAAAGATTTAAATTCTGCTTTCGCGCCAAACGCACACAGATCCACGATAAATGGCATAAATGGCGATTCGACCTTTGTACCCAACACGCATGACTGAAGAGGTGTGTTGTGGGTTCGAACGGACTCACACCAGACAAGGAACCCTACCGGTTGACCTTATATAAAAGCTCTGCTTTTCAACACTTAACGACATTCAACTGAACATTTGCTCAACATGGCAGAAGCAAGGCTTGCTGTAGGCTTACAGATACAAGTYACAGAAGAAGGGTTTCATCTTCACTTCGACAGCGATGCGTTTAAGTTCGTYCTTCGTGCGTTGGCACGATCAGCCAAAAGGCGCATCAAGGACGTCAAGAACGCTATTTTGAAGCGTTCTTTTCCAGCTACTCCTGCTTCTTGGTTCGTGTTAGTAGCCGCCTTGAGTGCRGCGAGGTATTCAGAACATCAAGCGACATTGGGAGTTTTGGGAAAGCTTGAACAAGGTTTCCCTGGGTGAGCTAGTGTTTTATTTACATCGAGCTTATAACTTAAAATCGACACGCATCGCGTGCTTTGTCCACATAAAAAGGACTTTGAACTCTGTTAAAATAAGTGGAATTTCAGTTATTTATTCTAGATTCTACTCTTTTTAGTTTGATTATAAGTATTTCAACAAGCTCATTGTTTTAATTCATATTTTAATGTGGGAACTATCGAAAAACACCAACCTGTAGCATAAACAATGGCGTAATTGGAAGTTTGCGTGAATTTACATAGGTCTTTTATTTTCACATCATTTAGAAAGTCATGGTATTATCTTTAACAATATTTTTGTATAATTTTCCCATTGAAATTCTCTGATGTTTTGGAATACTGTTAACATTTTAGTTCGTCGGCCTTTCTGTACTAAACAATTTCAGCTGTTAATCTATCCAACATTAGCATATCTTGTAAAAAAAATGTTTTTTCGACGTTTTCAAGAGACTRTTTTAATACACTTTAAAAGTGCCATTAAAGACACTATCCRGACAYCGGTTTTTAACTGAAAACTTTATGTAAACTTTAAAGAAAGCCAATTGAGTGTTCTTCTAGAAATGAGCAAGAAACGTCTTTATAACAGTCTGAAATCATAAGGAAGTTTAAGACTCAAATAATTAGAATTTTCTCAAGTTTATTTATATTATTAAACCAACTCAAGTATTCATGCATATTCTCGTTTCTAAGTTGCAAGTGTTTTTTTTTTCAATATATCATGTTAGAGACTGGTTGTCACAAGCCTATTTTCACTAGCATAAGCATAGTGATAGTCATAAAAATAAGAAACCATACATTTTCGTTTTTCTTATGCTAATTGCTATCCTTATGTCATCAAAATGTTTAATATGGGGACAGGGTATTGAATATTATGTATATCCAGCTGGTCTGGGTCTTGGCTATACATCTCCAGCTGTGAGGAAGTACAATGTTACGTAATGAGAAAATTATTAACTTTCTTTCATATTATCAATTAATTCTCTGAAATATTTTTCCACTGCTTTTATTTCGATAAATTTTTATTTAATCACACTTATGTAAATTATACATGTATCATTTGCAAATCCTAGAGGTATTAAATGSTGATCACATTCTGTTATGTGTGCCAAAAGCAAAATGACATATACCTGCCTGTAGCAACAGCACTTGGAAGGGGACAAGCAAGTGCTTGTTCCAAATCCATGAAACCATACAGTATTACTTGAAGTACAAAGTCTGAAATAACACTGATTATACATTGAACAGCATGACGTAGAGCAGACACAACTTAATTTGTGAATWAAAGCACTAATTACTGCTAAAYAGTGTTGATTAGACAATAGAAAACAAAGGAGCATAATTTAGCATAAATTGTACTATTTTAGTTTTTTGAATTAATTGAATTTCCTTTCCTTTCACTTATTTAGTAAATGTTAATACTCTTATATACTCATTATATTAATATTAAAACTAAAGAATAATGCAAAAAATAAGGCTAACATTGAATGATACATGTATATATATTCTTGCCTGTCAAACTGTTTACTGATAGAATATTTAGCATTTTATAATAATTAATCTTGACCAAATATGTCTAAAACACTTAGGTATTTTAATAAAGTTATTAAATGATAGTTTTGTTGACAGAGCTAACACAGTTTCCAATGGATATTTTTCTTAGAATCTTTGCACTTACTTGATGATTTCAAGAATTGTTATGTAATACAAATTGTAAGGCTTCTTATAACATTAAATTATATTTTTTTTGTAAAAAACTCAAAAGGCTTTTTTAAATTTCCTGTGTACATGTACAAAATCAACATCAGACTTATGCAGGATTGACATGTATGTTCATCATATTTCCTTTGAAACCAGAATCAATAACAAATAATAATCACTGGTGGGGTGTTTCTAGCCGTTTTAAAGCTGTATTTTTAAATTGTTTGTCTCAAATCTTATAAATTATGAATTATAATGACGTATTGCTCATCTACACTCATGGTCGCATAAGTACATTTATGTCAAAACATTAAAGAGTAAGATTTGCATTTGAATACTAGAATAATGTAATTAATTATTAACAAAGACATTTCTCACACCCTCTGGTACAGGTACTTTGAAAGGTGTCAAATTTGACATTCAGATACTGAACAGTTCATGTATTGTAGGATAACTACATCCCCCTGTTTACATCTGTTCCCACCCCTCCTCACCTGGGGGAGAGGGGGGGGGGATTGGGGGAGGAAATGGCAGGGTGGAGGGGTGGGAGCAGATGTACACAGGCTAAGTGAAAAGATACAAGGACCTGGATTTTTGTCTAGGCATCAGCAAAAAGGCAATCATTGCACCAGTGCCTGAACCAATGCATAATGCTCAAGMAATAATTGYGAYCTRTGCCTAARTATCAGAAAATAGAGCTCATGTTATGCTTGTTATATTGCAGGGCGCATAATCTCAACCCCAATACTGTGATTGCATTGGCTGTGCTGTTTGTTGCTACAATCTTATGGTTGTTGATTGGGAAAATTTATCAGTTTACATTACGACAGTTGCTGAAGTATCGGTCATTTTTATATGAACCAAGAGGGTAATATTCTTCTTATTTATTTATTCATTATTATAATATTATTATTATTATTATATATTATTATTGTTACACAATAAAGACTCAATCACCTTTTTCTGTAAAACTACAATTAACTGCAAATATATCTCTTGAGTCAATATTTATAAAAGTTCATAGCTGCAACACAGATTTAGCTTCAACCCTAGCACTGGATGCATTGCTAGCATCAGCATTTTTATTGGTAGTTCATTTGTGACTTATCTCTGTTTGCAGACATATATCATCCAAGACCAAGTGTTGGTGGGTAAGTAGTTTCAATGTGGTTCTCTGTATTATCAAAAGCACTTCGTACTGATATATTTGGTCAATCTTAACAGACTCTTGTATTATCAGAAGTCCTTACTTGTATATTTGGTCAATCTTAACAGACTCTTGTATTATCAGAAGTCCTTACTTGACGTATATTTGGTCAATCTTAACAGACTCTTGTATTATCAGAAGTCCTTACTTGTATATTTGGTCAATCTTAACAGACTCTTGTATTATCAGAAGTCCTTACTTGTATATTTGGTCAATCTTAACAGACTCTTGTATTATCAGAAGTCCTTACTTGTATATTTGGTCAATCTTAACAGACTCTTGTATTATCAGAAGTCCTTACTTGTATATTTGGTCAATCTTAACAGACTCTTGTTAAACTATTTGGAGGAAAGAATCCTTCTCTGTACAGCTAAATCTTAACAGACTCTTGTTAAACTATTTGGAGGAAAGAATCCTTCTCTGTACAGCTATGAAAAGTCAATGCCATATTTGCCTGTCCCTGACTTGGATCAGACTGTCCAAAAGGTAAAAAAATGATAGGAAAGAAGATGAAGAAATGGCTGAGTGGTAAATGGATAGATGGGTGAATGGCTGATGGATAGGTGKATGGATTTTTGGATGGGTGAAAAAATAAAAGAATGAAAGAAATAGTGGATGAAAGAWAAAGTGAAGGAATTGTGAAGGAATGGATGGGTGTATGCAGGTTAGGCTTATGGATTAAATGGATCAAATTGAATGAAGAAATAAATGAAACAAATAAAAGAATGGATACTGTCTCTTTTAATTAGTACTTGGAATCTGTGAAACATCTTATGGATGATGAGAAGTACCAAAAAGTAGAGCAAATGGCCAAAGAGTTTAAGGTAAATGACAAAACAACATACAATGAACATACAGCTAGCTGAACTGACAAAAACTTTATAACAAATTGAGACTCCCATTTCATATTCTAATGATAATCAACAATAGAAACCTGACATCAAACGTTCCTAATTAAAATTAGGATTTTGTTTTAAATGAGATATTTATTCGGTTTTGTTTAATGTAAAGGAAACCGGAGTTGGCTCAAGGCTTCAAAGATATCTTGTCCTGAAATCGTGGTGGTCAAACAATTATGTAAGTCATTAAAAAAATATAACATTTAAAAAGAAAGYTTTAAGTGCATATAATTATTTAAAACGCCAGCTCTTATCACTGTCATGGTCCCAGTTTGATTCCCAGTGTGACACCATGCATGTATGTAATTTTAGTTTGTTTGTTTTTGTTTGCCCRTTTGTTTGTTTGTTGTGTTTTTTTAGCCCTACAAAAGTGTTATTGTACTGTACTGACATTATTTAGATTATTAAATTATTATTAAATTTTTGATGCAGGTAACTGAATGGTGGGAACAGTATGTTTACCTACGCTCTAGAAGTCCTATTATGATCAACAGTAACTACTATGGYGTGGTAAGTACTTCATTTTGTACAATTGCAGTGGCTCTCCAAGGGAAGAGGATGCCCACAAAGACATTAACTGTGGATTAACACTAAGCCCAGTAGTCTCATCTTGAACATGTTGTATTTTGTATTTCACAGGACAGTGTCAATCATCCAACTAAAATCCAAAGTGCTCGTGCTGGGAATATCATCCATTCYTTGTTTTACTATCGCAAGCTTATCAGCAAAGAGAAATTAGAACCAGTGAGTAAATTGACTCCGTTGAACAAACTTTTAAGTTTTCATAAATTTGACAATGTTATGTCATGCTTTGCAGCAATTTGCTCTTGGGATTGTACCTGTATGCTCAGAACAGTTTAGAAGAACTTTTAACACCACTAGAATTCCTGGCAAAGAACAAGGTAAGTAACAATGAATGTCAGCTGGAGATATGGATTGTATTTTTGATTAGAGAAAAAACTGACAAGAAGATTGAATGTGTATATCTAAAAAGCCGCATGTAATATTCTCTAATTAGACTGTAATAATTTTTCATATTACACTTAGCCTCATCAACAAATCTTCATATCATACTAAGTCTCAACCAATAATTTTTCATATCATACTTAGCCTCAACCAATAATTTTTCATATCACACTTAGCCTCAACCAGTAATATTGTCCATGATCATGCACGGMCTCAATCAATAATTCTTCATATCACATTTAGACTCAACCAATAATAGTTCATATCCCTTACTCAGTCTCAATCAATAATTGATTTTTTTTTCTACAGATAAGCTGATGTCTTTCCCAGAATACAATCACTGTGTTGTGTACCATAGAGGAAGATTTTTTAAACTTGATTGTTACTTTAGAGGTCAGTCATTAAAACCTGCTGACATTGAAAGGTAAGCAAAACCGTTACTTAGTTTGTAATAGGAGGATTTAATCTAGTAAATTACTTTCTTTTTGATCTTCCTCCTTTTAGGCAAATTGAAAAGATTTTACATAATACAACAGAGCCTCTTCCTGGTGAACTTCTTCTTCCAAGCCTTACAGCAGCCAACAGGTACAATTGACAGATCCTGATTCATTGCTCTACCTCCCTAGTTACTGTTGCTATGTCACCTCCCTAGTTACTGTTGCTATGTCACCTCCCTAGTTACTGTTGCTATGTCACCTCCCTAGTTACTGTTGCTATGTCACCTCCCTAGTTACTGTTGCTATGTCACCTCCCTAGTTACTGTTGCTATGTCACCTCCCTAGTTACTGTTGCTATGTCACCTCCCTAGTTACTGTTGCTATGTCACCTCCCTAGTTACTGTTGCTATGTCACCTCCCTAGTTACTGTTGCTATGTCACCTCCCTAGTTACTGTTGCTATGTCGGACAAGCAAAAATATTCCTTTTATATAGAGCATGGGAAAGATGCTGATTGCTGCGATATGTAGGAACTTGCCT